AAAATTTCAAAATATAGTCTTTAAAAATCCGCGATTATAGCCTCAAACAAAATTTTCAAAAATCCACTATTATTACCTTCATAAATATTTTTTTCGAAAACACACGTATAGCCCAATAAATTATTCTTCAAATCCTTTATCCTTTAACATCCTTTAAAATCGACTATTTTGGACCAGAAGCCTTCGACTAAACTCTTAAAATATCCACCTTGATATGTATTCAAATAATAACCCAATAATTTATTATTAAAGTCTTTATAAGTCCTACAAATCCTTTTTATAAGTCCACATATATAGCCGGATTAGAAACTTATAGGCCATTTAACTATTTCTGTAATCATCTTTTCTCTACTGGACTATTCTATTAATGTTATAAATATTACATTTTCCAAACATATAACACTTTAACATATTTACTTCAAACGTGCTAAATCAATTATAATGTCTATCAATTTTTTTTTTTTTAAAATTCAACACAATTAATATTTTATGTGAATTAAAATTTAAATGTGTGCAAAACAAATGACTTTTTATCGCATGATAAACCCTTCATAAAACTTACTCTTTGTCCAACTCATCCAATCCAATGCAATATCAATAAACTAATCATAAAACTATGATTGTGTGTGTGTTTTTGCATTTGAATTGCTATTATATAATGAAATTTAAATAGAAATTATTTATGCAAAAAATACATATTCAAAACAAATCGAAAAAATTAAAAAAATGTTATGTATGAATGGCAGGCAATCCATGACAAATATAATAATCTAAAGGATATTTGAATTTAAATGAAATAAATACGTATACACAAAAGGCCTCACAATCCATATTAAAATGCATTAAAAAAAAACAAACAAGTGTTGTAACTCCAATATTACCAGTAGTTCTCAATTTTGTATTCATTTTTATAGATTTCAGAAATATATATATATTAAATAAAGAATATATAAATAAATTGTTTGAGAATCACCTATTTTGCTGACCAACCCTTGTGTGTGACAATAAACCCATAAAATAGATGTGTTTATGAATGGCTGTGTTTATGGGTGTATGTATGTCGATGTGTACACATTGCATTTATGGATAATGTATTTGCAATATGTTCATGTGCATTGTGAGAGTTTGTATGTGAGTAGAAGAGGGAATGTTCGTTCGAGCGGTGAGTAAGTCATTTTGCATTGAAATGCAATGACTGAGCTTTGAATATGGGGAACTTTGCAAATGTATTCAATAACACCCATGATGGCTTAATATGAGAATGTTTTTTTTTCCTGTTTTGCATATAAAGAGCTCTTAACCATTATCGACATGGGGAAGGACTGGGCGTGTGGAACGAACTTTTTGAAAAATAAATGATATTGTTTAAATTGGACAAATGAGAAAACTATTCAATAATTGTACCATTGAATTATGATTAGAACCAAATAATAATGAGGCTATAGAGAGGGCAATGAGAAATAATATTCTCATCGGTGTGTATGCGCATACTAATAAATACACTTCATGGAATAGTCATATGACCGTATGATTAATAAATAAAAATGTACAACTATAAGTGTAAAATTAAATGCTAGAAAATTTTAGCAATACAGAATATGGGGTAATAATGGCAATTTGTTATCTGGACTTCTTATACCCTGTTATGCCTTACAAAAGACTGTTTTGACCATGGATCCCTTTGGACCAATTTTAGGAAATTTGGAGTCAATCTAGGGTTGCCGTCTGTCTGTCTGTGTGTCTGGCTGACTGGCTGGACTCAAGGGGAGTAATTGATAAGGTGTAAATTCGGGACATGGGCAATATCGGTCCATTAATGGCTGACTCCCCACAACCACGAATCGGCTGAAGCTACAAACATGAAACTTGGTGCGCAGTCGTGTGATAAGGCTGGGATTGTGGAAATACATACTAAAAGGGTACGAAAAGTACTAAAATGTACTAAAAATTGAATACTTTTTATTAGGCAAACGGAATGAACTAGAACTCAAAATGTGAAATGAGAGTCACTGATGGAGTTCAGGATATATGAGCCAAAGGGTTTTTGGAACTTGGGACTTTTTACTTACGCAAAATTCTAAAATGGTACCATTTTGGTATTATGTGAAAGGATAGAGCTAAACTAAATGGTACTAAATTTGGAGCTATTTGGTTTAGAGTGAACGGATGTAGCTAGAATTTCGGGTTCCTTTTGGTTGTAAGTTTATGTTGAAGAAGTGGTTTTGGAAATGCGTACTACAAGTGCACGAAAAGTACTAAATAGTACTATGTTTAGTACAGTTTGATACTGGATGAACAGATGGTGTCTAAAATCTTGTAAATGGTATAGGGTCGCCGTTCATGTGTAGTCTGGACATATGGCAGTGGTTTCGGAAATATGTACTATAATTGTACGAAAATTATTCAATGGTGCTATATTTGGTATTGGGTGAAAAGATAGAACTAAAATCCTGAAATTGTACGAAAAGTACTAATTAGTACTAAATTGGGTGAAGAGAAAGAGCTGGAATATCGAGATTTTATATTGAGGTCTCCATGGGTATCTGGAATTGAGAAGTGGAGGTGGTTTTGAAAATGTGTACTATAGTTGCTCGAAAATGACTAAATTAAACTAAATTTGGTATTGGGTGAAGGCACAGAGCTGAAATCCTGAAATATGATATTAAGGTTGGTTTCTAGGTTTAAATATGGAGACATTAAAATAGTTTTGGACAAAAACATTGCAAGTGCGTCCATTGTCCTCCTCAGTAAAATTCAAAATGAAAGATTTGAAAATTGTCCGCCTGTGGAAATCACTCTACCTTCCGAACGAAATGAAGTAGATTAATACAATTTTACTCAAATCGATATAATGTCTGCAGGACTTTAGGTATTGAAAATGGGCCTTGTAGGTCCACGCCTTCGTATGGCCCCATATAATGGTACCTCCCGATATTCGGTACTTTGATGATTGTAGCGACATTATTCACCGGAATTGTTTCAAATTTGGTATTTGATGTTTGTAATGGATACTACAGCTTAAGACAGAAAATTGTCTGTGCAGGTCCACGTCTTCGTATAGCTCACATATAACGGTACCCCCGATAATGATTTTAGCTACATGATTCACCGATTTTTTAAAGTTTCGCATCTGAATATTGTAATAGCTTATGACAAAAGTGACCTCTGCAGGTCTATGTCGTCGTATAAACCCTAGTATAACAGCTGCATTCGGTATTCTTAAGATTTTAACAACATTTTTAACGGATTATTATTGTTTTTGAGAATTGCCAAATTCGTTCCAAATGGTGGAGGGTATTCAAAACTCGGCCCATGTCGAACTTACAGCTTTTTTACTTGTCTTTTCAAAAAAGGCCTAACACGAACTGTTAGTATGAATATAAAATGTTAAGGTGGACTTTTCGCTGATGAAGCAGGGGACACTTGCTGGTATTAAATAAACGAACATTAGGTGAGGGTATACATTAGTCGGCAAAAGCGATCGATTCTTTGTGTGTTGTTCATTAAAAATTCAAAATGTCAAATTGGAGCTTTGGCAAAAAATATATAAATTAATTGTCAAAATAGTCACAGAATATGTACGATATCTCATATCGTGCGTATTACAATTGGATGAAACTATATATGGAAGCTATATTAACCTTATATTAAAAATTCTTTAAACATCCACGATTATAGCCTTGAACTACCTTCAAAATATATTCTTTAAAAATTCAACGTTGATGGTCTTAAAGTGCCTTTTTTTTGAAAATCCATGACTTTAACCCTTAAGTGCCTATATGATGAAATTATATATGCGATCTATATTAATTTTAAACTGAAAAATTCTTTAGAAATCCACGATTGTAGCCTTGAACTTCTTTCAAAATATATTCTTTAAAAATTCACAATTATAGTCTTAAAGTGCCTTTAAAAAATACTCTTTGAAAATTCAAGATTATAGCCCTTAAGTGCCTTCTAAAATATTCTAAAAGAATCCCCGGAATTAGCAAACCTTCTAAAAATATCCTACATGATGAAACTACATAAACCTTAGCCTTGACCTACCTTCAAAAAAATATTCTTTCAAAATCCATGATTATAGCATTTAAGTGTCTTAAAAAAATTTCTAAAAAGATCCGCGGAATTAGCAGTCCTTCCTTTAAAATTCACCATTATAGCCTTGATAGTCCTTTCTAAAATGCTCCTTAAACATTCACGCTTATATTCAGGATAGGCCTTTAAACAATCATTGAAAAAGCCATGAAAATTGTCCATCTTCTGTACCTGATATTGCCTAATGAATCGTAATTAATGCCGTCACTCATCTCTATTACTTCATAGGGTCTCCGAAATCAATATACCCTGTATTCTATAAAAGCAATTTTGTATGACTTCAACTACTGAATGTGGAATATTTATTAATTTTGTCATTATGTATCAAATTTCCAAAGAATACTTGAAAATTAAATTAACTACACAATCAAACACAATTAGCATAACTTCGAGTTCTACACTTCATTAAAACAAAATTCAAGTTAATAATATAATCTTTGAAATGTCCATAATCTATGAAATTAAATCACAATATTAAATGGTATTATATCCTCTTTCTGGGAAATGACATTTTCAATTCAGGGAAAAACAATATTTGTCTAACAATGAAATTCATTATTGATATCCAATTCGAATACACAACGGAACACAACACACCTACATACACACATACATGCATGCATGCATGCACAGCTAGCTAGTCGATGAATAATCCATTTAATATCAACAAATTGTCACAATGTTGGTATTATTGTCCAATGTAATTGCAATTATTTACTTAAAATCGAAAAAAACAACATCAACACGAACACATATACAAATACACACGCAAATATTATACATGCAATGCCATAAACATTTGCAATTGGTGTGTCATCGTGGCACACACACACACGCTTGCACTCAAATCCAATTATAGCCCCTATCCACTGGGGAGTATTGTGTGTAAATTAAATAAAACTCACCGGAAATAGACACCTGGTGTACGTTGATCAATGTCAGTGGGATAGATGCGGCCAACACGACACTTGGAAAAGAAAATACCAATGAATGAGGGATCATTTTTCTTCGGCCAATCTTTGACGGGGAACACCAAGGGATATGTAAAATACTCTGGTGGATCGGAAAATTCCAAATAACCGTTGAGGGATACCTTTAATACGAAAAGGAAATGCAAATTATTTAAAAATAAATTCATTGAAGTAACTCGACTTACTCTCGTATAATTGAAACGGAAACCGTAGAATGGCAATTGGAAATTTAAATTTTTATGAATCTGTGTTGTCGAGGCATGAATATCGAACTGATAATCACCACGTCCGCCGTACATATCCTGATCGAAATACCAATACATAAAATACGAACGTATCTCAGCCAGACGTTGTGGTGTAATGGTGTAGCCACCGGTCAATGAATGTGATGGCATTGTTGGTGGCGCCATGCGATTGTTGGGATCTGTAATGAAGGAGAATTAATTTTTTTTTAAATAAAATATAAAATATATTTCTCTAAGAATTTCGTCCGCACCGAAATTTTAATACAAATTTCGTCGAAATTTTAATAAAAAGAAAACATTTTTATTTAAAAGTATCTGAATTCCAACGTGTTCCACTTTAAACTACAAATACCAGACCGTTTGGATAATGCTGTTCAACTTTTCAAAAATACATAAAGTGGGTGGGGCCATTGGGGTCATAAAAAAGGCAACCCCTATTGACAATTTTATACTTCAAGAAATGTAATTTACCAAATCTTCTTAAATACCAAATACCAGCTCATTATATACACTTTGGTGAGAATTTTCCAGAAAAAAGTTATTCGTGATGGAATTCAAGCGTGAGAGTGTGATTTCTTTATATTTAGCTGGAAATCCACAAGTGGCTATCGTTAGAGCACTCCAGCATTTAAATGTAAATAAATATTTTGTGTCTCGTACCATCGCTCGTTACGGTGATACTGGTATCGTAGCCCGACGTCAAGGAAGTGGACGAAAGAAAACAGCAACATCAGCAGAAATGGTTCGAAAAGTAAAGAAGCGACTTGATCGAAACCCACGTCGCAGTGGCCGAAAGTTGGCTTGTGACCTGAACATATTGCAATATTCCATTCCAAATATTGAAAAATGAGCTCGGCCATTCAAATTCCAAAAGGTGCAAGAACTTACACCGCAACAGAAAGAAAATAGACTCAAAAAAGCTAAAGAGTTGCTTCGCTTGGCCGAAAGTGGTGAACTGCCGAATTTTGTTTTCTCCGATGAGAAAACATTCGTTGTCCAGCAGTTTGTAAACAAATAAAATAATCGTGTTTTCTTGCCAAAGAGGTCAGCTAAAAATGTGCATCTTCGGTTGACCACCAGAACTCAAGCGCCGGTCATGATGATGGTGTAGGCCGCCATAACAGCCGATGGTCTCTCTCCGTTCCTATTAATCGATTTTGGCGTCAGAATAAATGCCGAATATTGTCGCGAAAATATTCTGGAGGGTGCATTCCTTGGACATTCCAACGGAACTCATCACCATCGCCCTCAGCACGCATACCAATCCGTTCTACTTTTTTGTCTGAAATAGTTTGGAAAGCAAGGTTGGCACTAAAAAATACCAAAGCGCTTCCCCGGGAAAGGGCCAAAATACCGCAGAGCGACATTCGTGCAGCGTGTGACTGTTTCATTGGCCGTTTGAAGGCCATAATTCATGGCAAAGGTGATCAATTTGAACAAATCTAAACTTATTCTACAATTTGATGCTATATCCGAGATTTTTTGCTTTCACTCAATAAAATTTAAAAAAAAATTGTAAAAATTATGGCGCCTGACTTTGTTGCAGTTTTTATCTCACCCTGTATGTAAGATCTGAGGAAAAATATATGTGACACTCGTATTTAAAGACATAGACATTGTATCACATATATATAGAGAAGTCGAGTTTTAAGCGATTTGTAAAGTGAAGGAACATTTTGTACAAACCCTCCGAAGCTCGTCTGATTATGGCAATATTTATACCCTACACCACAAGGTGGTCAGGGTATTATGTCTTTGTGCATTTGTTTGTAACAGGCAAAAGGAAACGAGATAGACCCATTGTTCCTTTTGATGATCTGCATAGAATCACTTTTTAAGTTGATTTATGCATGTCAGTCCGTCTGTCCGTCCGTCCGTCTGTCCATGTACTCTTGTGAACAAAATGCAGGTCGCATTTATAATCCGATTGAGATGAAATTTTGCAAACAACATTTGTTTGGCCCAAGGACGAACCCTATTGAAATTGGAGATAATCGGTAAAAATTTAGATTTAGCTCCCATATATATCTTCGTCCGATTTGCCTTTTAGTGTGCACCAAACGTGTAATATCAGCCCGAATAGTATGGAATTTTGCACATACAACCAAATTAGACCTAAAAATAAGCATGCCTAATTTGATCGAAATCGGTTTAGATATAGCTATAGCTCCCATATATATTGTTCATCCGATTTGTTATTTTTGTCCTCCGCAGCCGTAATATGCACTCTGTAACAACAATATTTGGGGAAATATATCAAATGCAGCTCAGAAATACCTTTGCTAAATTTTATCGAGATCGGTTCAGATTTGGATATAGCTCCCATATATAACTTCGTCCGATTTACCTTTTATTGAGCACCAAACGTCTAATATTTGTCCAAATGGGATGGAATTTGGCACATATGACCGAATTTAGTCTAGAAGGTAGTATGCCACGTTTGGTGAAGATCGGTTCAGATATAGCTATAGCTCCCACATATACAGTTCATCCGATTTGTTATATTTGTTACCCACAGCCGTAATATGCACTCCGTAACAACGATATTCAGGGAAATATATCAAATACAGCTCAGAAATATCTTTGCCAAATTTTATCGAGATCGGTTCAGATTTGGATATAGTTCCCATATATATTTTTATCCGATTTCAAATTAATTTCGCACCAAATGGGCATATGACCGAATTTAGTCCGATTTTAAAAGATACAAATGCTTCGGCATATTTAGTCCTTTGAACTTTAAATTATAATTATAATCATAGCGTGTATGATTGAATTCTCCCATAAAAACTTTTAATTATTAAGTGGAGCTCAACTAAATTAGCAAAGTGGTGTAGGGTATCATAAAATCGGCCCGCCCGACTTTAGGTTTTAATTTAATTTGGTTTTACTTTACTGGTTTTAATTTAATTTTAGTATATATTTTTTAGATCGACTTTTCTTATTTCTTCATCATATCTTAAAAACGGTCCTTTAAATAATTTTGACCATAATTTATTTTAAACTTTTAATTCATAAACCACATTTTTCATTTCCTTCACATCCAAAGAAACCATCTAAAATCACTAACCAGCCAACTTTGCTCATAAAAATCATTTGCAAGTTTAGAAAAAAACCCCAAACCAAAAAAAAAGAAAATAGAAGAAAAAAAGGAACTATAAAATATTTCATTTTGTTTAAAACATCAGAATTTTTATTGATATTGTTAAAGACATACTTTAAAAGTTGTTCTTTTTTCACTAAACTATTTATGTACTAAGTACACATGCTGTTGCTTACATACTAACACACTTACACATTTAGAGAGAGAGAGAGAGAGAGAGAGCGCGCGGCAAAGCTAGAGACTATAAGTACACTTAAACACTAAGACTAAGTTCAACTAAAATACTAAATAAAACAAAGTAAAAATCCGGGCGATAATAAAGTCTTTAACAAAGTCTATGGGGCAAAGAAAGATTACGATAAAATCGACCGAGGGAAGAAGGGAGGTAAGGCAAACCCGAAAAAAGTTTCAAACTTATATAAATACTATACTATCCTCAAGGTAATATATATTTTTGTTGTGGGTGGGTGGGTTGGTTGAAGCAAAGAAAGTGAAAGCCTCTGCTGGTTCCTTCCAATGAAATCCTTTTGGATCGTTGGCCACTTTCTTGGTTTCTTTCTCCGCCAGTTATGAAAATCCAAAAACTACTTTAGGCTAAGTTTCTTTCTTTTTGTTTCCACGATTTTGTTGTGGGAAATCACAACGGGAAGACATTTTTGTCTGCAGCTGCTGGTCACACCTCTTTTATTTTGCCTTTGTCTTCGTCTTAGCTTTCCATCATAATTCGACGCTCGTATTCGGCTACACGTAATTTAACGGGCATTACCAAACTTAAGTCCTCCATAACGGCGTGCATTTGCGGCTTGGTGCCCCCATTCGTCCCAGCCGTTGAATTTTGCCTTTGTATGGGTCGCCGTGATTTCTCTATGGACGGTTTACGACGCAATGAATTTTTACGCTGTATTGAGGATGTGTTGTAGATGGGCGTCGATGAGGTCAGGGGAGCAGCACTGCAGTTGGCTGCCAAGCCACTGAATGAGGCAAAGGAGGGGGACGAGGTGGCTGTGGTTGTGTCCTGGAATGAAAATGTAGCAGCTGCCGATGCAACCGACAATTGTTGGCTACTCGCTACTGTTGCCGGTGTTTGTGGACAGAAAAGCGAGAATGAAGATGAGGCCGTGCTCGATGATGATGCTGATGATGTTGACAATGATGAAGCATTCGACTGCCATCGTGAAGGCTTGGCTGTGAGGGCCTCAGGCGCCGGTGTTGGTTGCTCCAAGTGCAAGTTTATGTGGGTGGACCAGCGTTTGGGTTTTGCCGGGGTTGCAAAATGTATGTTCAGACTTTGGGTGCTGGTGTTGTTCAGTGTGGCCCGGGCCTGGGTTTTGGAATTTTTCAGGAGATTAATAAATGTGTTATTGCCCACGGTGGTAAGCGTATTAAAATAGCTTATGCGTTCCTTGACGGATCTTAAGGTATCCTGTGAGGATGGGTTTTCGTTACCCATGCTGAAGTTGTGACTGCTGCTAGTCAGGCTAAGATTGCCAAATGATCCAAAGCTATTGTCATTAGACCCACCAACACCGCCACATCCATTACTGCTGCTGATGGATGTATTGCCAAATGTTACATTGCTCTGATTGTTCGTTTTAATTTCCGATAAATGGGAAGTTTGCTGATAGTTGTTGGTATTTACCCCAGCTTGTTCCTCTTTGTTGGCTTCTTCAAATCTCACCGAATTCCGTTTGGACATTTCCAAAGCCTTTTCCTTGATTTGGCATGACCAACTTTTGTGGCCAACCATAGTTTGTGGTTTAATTTGCTGCCGTCCACCTTCGGCCACCTCTCCGTCGCCCTCGCTGTCACTGGATGTGTTGTCGGCACTACCCGAACTATGTTTTGACATTTCCAATGCCTTGGCTCGCAGTTCATGGGACCAACGTTTTGGTGGAATATTCCGACGTGATTGTAATTGCATTTCACCAGATACAGGTGGCAGTGTCGTTGTCGCACCAACCACTGCACCCAAACCACTTGAGTAAATTGATTTTGGGGTTTCATTAACATCTCTGAAGTAGTTGAGCGGGGCCGGCATGCTGGGCTCCAATGTTTGTCCTGTTGCCGTTTTCATGGTCTCCACAGATTTTGGTGTAGAAGTCATGGCCGGCTGCTGGCTATTGATGTTGGAATTGTTGCTGCTACTGCCATTATTATTTGCCAATTGATTTTGTAAAGCTGCCATTCTTGGTGGTTTCGGCGGCGGATGTGACAAATCAATGTCATCAACATCCATGCTATCATTGTGGATGATGGCCCCCGGTCGATAGGAGGGCATATTGTATGAATAAAACTGAAATGTGTAAGCACTCAGACTCATTTTCTATTTTGCCCGTCGTTTTTAACGCTAATGAGAAAACAGCACGGAAAAATAATATTTTTGTTTGCGTTTTCAAAACTTAAAATCACTCGAAAAAGGTCGACACGTTCGGCTGGTTGAATGGTGTTTAATGAGTTTGTCATGGCTGTCATGTTTATTTATAGCATAAACCCAAAACAGAAGAACCACTAAGCCGCTTTGCATTTGGGCTACCTGTTGTCCTTACACGCTCCCTCTCTCCTTCTCGTCCTTTTTTTCCTCCTCCCAAAACAATGAAACCACCTTTCCTTAAATTTTAATCCTTGCATGACACACTTTTTTCCCGTCTTGGGTCCTTCTTCTTATTAAAAATTTGCATACCTGTTACAACCCACACACACAAAGGCAGAAGGATAACACTACCACACCTACATACAGGCTCAGTTCAATAATAAACCACTACTCAATGATTTTATGTTCGCTTGTAAAGTCTTTAGTTAATTATCGTCCTTAAAATTTTAATACGATTAACTACAGTTCATAAAATGCCGTTAGGTCACACGATTGTCGCTTATTGAAATATTGGCTTTGGTTCAATATTTAATAAACATTGATTCGGGACTTCTTAAGTCATCTTTGCCAGGTGATATAATTTGTAATATTAGGATATATTTGTGTTAGGAGAGGAATTTTTTTGGTAATTGTCTAAATTAGAAATTTCCTTTACTTAAAGAGGATTTGAGAAAGCCATACTAAATAGAAGCAACAAGTTTGAAAAGGATTCATATTTGAAATAATAAAAATCTATTCCTTTCATAGACAGAGAGAGAGGGAACCGAAGACCTTATCTACTAAAAAAAATAAATCAAAATCTGATTGTCTATATACCTTAGACAAAAGTAGGCTTCAGGGTCTTCTAAAGGTAAACGAAGACCTCAAGGCCTTTCTAAGCAAAAGAAGATTTTTATACAGCCTTTATACAAAAGATCAGAACTTCAATAGGGGAAGACCTCAAGTTATTCTATGGACAAGACCTCAAGTTCTTGTGGAGGCAAAATAAGTACTCCAGTTTTATATAGACACTAGAAACCCTCAAGTTTTTTGATAGACAATAGAAAAACTCAAGTTCTTCTATAGACAAATTAAGTCCTCAAGGTCTCCTATAGAAAATAGAAGACCTCAAGGACTTTTATGGACAATAGAAGACCTCAAAGACTTTTATAGGCAATGGAAGACCTTAAGGTCTTCTATAGACAATAGAACACCTCAAGGTCTTCTATAGACAATAGAACACCTCAAGGTCTTCTATAGACAATAGAAGGCCTCTAGGTCTTCTATAGACAATAGAAGACCTCTAGGTCTTCTATAGACAATAGAAGACCTCAAGGTCTTCAATAGACAATAGAAGACCCCAAGGACTTCCATAGACAATAGAAGACCCCAAGGCCTTCCATAAACAATAGAAGACCTCAAGGTCTTCTGTAGACAATAGAAGACCTCCAGGTCTTCTATAGGCAATAGAAGACGTCAAGGTCTTCTATAGACAATAGAAGACCTCAAGGTCTTTTATAGACAATAGAAGACCTCAAGGTCTTCTATAGACAACAGAAGACCTTAGGGTCTTCAGTAGACAATGGACGAACCTAAGACCTTCTATGGAGAATATAAGAACTTATGACGTTCTATGAAGAATAAAAGACCTTATGGCCTGCTATGGAGAATAGAAGCTCGAAAAGCCTTCTATGAAGAATAGAGGACCCCAAAAACTTCTTTAGACACTAAAAGACTTTAACGTCTTCTATTGGCAATAGAAAACCTCAACAGATGGCCTTAAGATCTTCTCTTTTATAGACAACAGATGGCCTGTAGATCTTCTCTGGACAATAGAAGACTTCATTGCCAAAAATGCGCTTTCTATAAAAACGGATGCCGTGTTACCATATTCTATGCACCGAAGAAGACTCTAACGAATTACTCATAATCTAAGACGGTTGACACTTCTACAGACAATTTTTTCTAGATCTTTACAGGAAAATAAGAAATATCTAGATTGAAAAATAACTTAGGCTCCATATATATTATATGTACCATCAATAGGGACAGTTTGCCTAATACCCAACATATATGACTCCCAAAAAAGTCTCATTTTTTCTTCCATTCATCGAAGAGACCATTATTTTGTTCAATTTCGCAACACTGTGCACATAACAACTAATTAACACAGTGTCATATTACACACATACCATATCGGCATTACACAAAATCGCGCTGAATAATCTAACCCGTGAAATTTTCGGTAATGGTAACAGTTTGTCTAAAAGCAGATAAGCATATTTGTGTAATTTATCCTGGCCCGTTGATATTGTTGTTGTTGCTGCGTTGCTACTTTTCCGTGTTTTTTTTTTTTTTTTTTTTTTTTCTTCCTCCCAGCAACCAAATCATCAACTACAATCCATCCCATACAAAATTGTGGCAATCCGACTAACTACCTGATGAGCAGCCAAAAAAAAGTAACATGACAATGTTAAACGAAACGGGGTTTTATGGCCCCTACTTAAGTGTCACCTACAATTCAGGCAATTATGGAGGACAATCGCTGGCATGCACTTACCCACACCCATACACCCACATGATCATAAAACCGGGCGACAGGCAAAAGTTTTAAATGAGATTTGTGTTACATGATAAATGTGACAAAAAAGGATTAGCGAATACTCCCAATTTGCCATTGTGCGCGTGTAAGCATGTGTCAGAGTTGGCAAACACACACACACACTCACACACAGATGTCCTGTTCTCTTTTTTGATTCATAAAAAGATTAGCGAACGCTTAACATTATGAGCGGATATTTCGACATTGAATTATTGTCAAGTAAAGATGCTTCATGAGTTATGTGTGTGTGTGTGCGCGGGAGTATGGCGCTGCCGTATACCTAGCTCACATATAAATGTGGCAACAACAACAATAACCATGATTTTAGCGGCTGCGGTAACACCGTCAACGACAGCAGCTGCAATTTGAAAACTTTTCAAATCCATCGGATTAGCGTTTTAAGTAAAAAACAAAAAGAAAAAACACAACAACGACGACGACGAAGGAGATGAGAAAAAAAAAACGAAAAGGAATCAACAGCGTACGCGGGCAAAAAGGCAACCCAACGATTATGAAAGTGGATTTAATTTTTGCAACAAAATCACTTTTTTCCTTTGTCTTACTTTTGAGAAAAACTGTAACGGCTGTTCATTTCTCGGAAGCCAGGGAATTTAGGATGAAAAACTCAATGGGAAAAATCCACAATAATATTTTCAAGAATTCTGCCTCATTTGTCATATTTTCAGATTTGCTTTTGCTGTCCTTTTTTTCTCTGTCTTTAAGACGATAATTTATATTTAATTATTTAAAAGTATTATTTTTTTCTAAATTTGAAGGCAACAAATCGGATTTAAATGCATAATATATAATAATATATAATACAAGTCCTATTGGAGGTCCATCCCTTTACAAAGAATTCTGTATAAATGAAGGAAGGCAGAAAAAATATAAACAAACTTTTAATACCCTCCACCTTAGGGTAAAAGAAACATTAGAAGAAATGTGGCAAAAACCATTACAATGCCGAATATCGGGAGGTACCGTTATATGGGGGCTATACCAAAACGTGGACCTATAATTACAATGTTTTGCCATACGAACTACGACCCATTCTGGCCCACAAATACGATTTTTAAGACAAATCAATGAAAAAATGTGGTAAAAACCATCAAAATACCGAATATCGGGAGGTACTGTTATATGGGGGCTATACCAAATCATGGACCCATACATGCAATGTTTCGCCACCGGAGCTGGAAACCATTATGACCAACAAATACCAATTTTTAGACAAATCAGTGAAAAAATGTGGCAAAAAAAAAACTAAAATACCGAATATCGGGAGGTACCTTTAAATGGGGGCTATACCACAACGTGGACCTATACATGCAATATTTTGCCACACACTCAGGGACCCGTTATGGCCTACAAATACGAATTTCCAGACAAATCCGTGAAAAATGTGGCATAAATCATCAAAATACCGAATATCGGGAGGTACCGTTATATGGGGGCTATACCAAAACGTAAACCTATACATGCAATGTTTTGCCACACGCTCAGTGACCCGTTATGACCTACATATACCAATTTTCAGACAAATCCGTGAAATAATGTGGCATAAATCATCAAAATACCGAATATCGGGAGGTACCGTTATATGGGGACTATACCAAGGCGTGGACCGATATATCTCATTTTCAATACCAACCATCCTAGACACAATGTAAATAGCTCAACTAAATTTTGGCGCTCTACGTCAAATAATGTGGGCTGTATCGTGATTTCAACAGACAGAGGGACAGACAGACGGACATCGTTAAATCGACTTAAAATTTTATGCTGATTATGAATATATATACTTTATGGGGTCTAAGACAAATATTTAAGGATGTTACAAACGGAATGACAAAGTTAATATACCCTCCTTTCCAAGGTGGAGGGTATAAAAACGCCACCTCCAAAATTGCAGAGTTTAATTTCTAAAAAACACGGTTTATAGTACCTCTTAGTATGACGTTTCAAAATTCCAGTCTTATTCTGTGTCTAAACATCAATAGTAATCCACAAGCATAATTTTGAGAATTTAGATTGAATTTCTATACCCTATACCACAAAACAAAGGTACGACGAAATGTGCTTCGGAAACCACATAAAGTATGGATATTGATATTGTTCCAAAAATATTCGGTATTGAAATTTAATATGTCCACGTTTGCATATAGCTTCAAGAAAATGATACCCCTCATAGCGCAATTTCCAACAAATCAGCTCTAAAAATATACAATGCAGGTCCACTTTTTGGTATAACCTCCATAAAAGTATACCTCCGAATTTTCGACATTTTTGGGTTATGGAAGCTCACAGCCGATTAAATCATCTGCATTTTGAGATTTGGTTGCTCAGTGACACTTTAACTCCTCGCGCAAAAATGATTATGGGTTACGTTTAGGTACAATCCTCAAATAAGTGTATTTGGTATTTTGAAGACTTCAACCCGAATTTCCAGCCAAATACGTTTTATATTGACGCCAACAAGTGGTTGTCACTTCGTCTTTAAAG